TTGCATTGGTGATGATCTTGTGTCCAGTACAGTGGGAACTTCGGCTCCCCATCATCGCCAATGAACCATGGCCTCTTTCCAACCTCGGCCACTACTTTAAAAAAATAAGTCTTGAAGCCCTTAAAAGATTTGCTGTATACGGAGAACAGCTTGCGGGAGGGTTTACTAACTCTACCTCGGATGCTACTCCACCCCTTCAGTTCAGGAGGTTCTGAGCCGGTGCGCGAAATATAAATAGTAAAAAAATGAAAAAACAAAGGCACGGTACAAGGAAGGGACAACGAGTCACAGAGCTGCTCGAAGGCAACAATATAAGCCCAGCCGTTGGGATGGATCTGGGTTGGTGCGAGCAGCAGGTGGTTTAGAAGTTGCACTTTGAAGGAAGAAAAAGGAAATCGAATCCCAATCTTCGTCACCAGATCCCGGTAGAAGAAAAAAGAATGTGGTTCCTCAAGATTTCGGCCGGAGCAAACAGGTTCGTCATCGGCAGGAACGAAGGTGTTGAAATCAACCGGGTTGCCTAAGGGAAGCCCGGACACTTCTTCGGTTGTCATCTCAGAGGTAAAACTCAGCACTTCTTCCGTAACCCAGGGATATTGGGCACGAAGATGATCGGTTACTGACTTTGGACCCTTCTCCATGGTACTAGTCCCGACCTCTGGACCCTGGTTGGAAGAAGCGATATTCGCATTTGATTCTGTAGAATGGGACTCCATAAATACCTAGAACAGTAAAATGGAGGATTAAAAAGCAACAATAGCACGTAGCAAAAGGGATACGTACCCGAGTTAAACAAACTACTATCAGAGGAACTAGAATCATCAGATGTGGAGACATGAGCAGGGGTTGGTGAACCCGGAACGTGTGAACAGCCATCTAAAACTAGATTGGCCATGAAGTCATTACCCCTCTCCACAAATTGGGCACCAAGGTATACACAGTTGAAACAAGGCTCAGGGTTGGGAATGCTAGGACGAGAGGAGACTCTCACACTCTGGTTTGGAGATTGAAAAGGTGTAATAGGGCGAATCGGGATGGAACTTAATGAAAGAGAAGTTGCCCTGGACGGGTTGCCCAAGTTACGGGGCTCAACATCCTAACCCCGGGTGGTGGAACCGGAAACCCTTCTACCTCGAAGACGCCTCCCACGACCACGAATCGAGGAGCGAGATGAAGAGGCTCTCCCACGGCCACCACCTCGATAGCCGCCTAGCAGAGCAGCCTGCGTTTCTTCCGCGGTCCGGGGTCTACCAAACAACCAGTACCTCGAACCAGGTGGTAGGCTTTGAATGAACCTTTCCTCTTCTTGCGCACGTCGTTCTTCCTCTTCGATGTCAATTTCATCACCACGACCGAAGACGCGGGGGCAAGTGGGCCTCCCTTGAATAGCATAATTTTGTTCCCTCATTTCAGGAACTATTCAGAGAAGGGTGCGTAAGGAGTGAGCCAAGTGCAAATAAGCTCACATAAAGTGCAAGACCAATACAGAAGGTGAAATCGCATAGAGAAGCAGGCAAGTAAATAAGCTTGGAATAAAGAAGGGCATTATAAAACCAGCAGCCATGGCTAGGATTAAATGTAAATGGAGAATATGCCAGAAAAGAGAATCAGAGTGAAAGAAAATACCTACGAAGGAAGGTGTTGCAGATACTGGTAGATACTTGAGGAGGAGGCTCTGGTAGGACGAAACCCTTCGATAGCGAAGAAGAAAATGCTTCAGGAACGATTCAGAACAGCAACAGAAGCAAATGAAAGATAAATGAGGCAAATGGTGTGAAACGTTGAAATCAAAGGTTTAAACTCGCGAAAGCCAAAAGGCAGGGGTACTGCGGTAATTTTGCAGTAGACAAGACAGTTGAGGGACGTTTTGGCAGAGGCATTAAATGCCAAGACGGCGAGAAACGCACCACGCCACACGTCGCGCCTATTAAGAGAGGGCACGTGGAGGGATAATCATTAGGAGGAAGGGAAACCATTTCTCACTTCAGAGCAATCGTCAGATGGAAGTTACGCACAATCATGTTCCGCGTTGCCGACATTTGTGTTTGCATCCGGGTTCACATGTCGGGTTTAAGATTGCGACCTACCTTAGACAAGGAACTCGGCTATTATGCCTATTAGGCTTACAGAGGCCAGGAGTGACTTCCAGGGGAAGTTTTCCCTCTCAAGGCTAGGCAAGGGAGCCGAAGTAACCAATCAGCCAGATGACCAACTTCCAACTAAAGCATAGCAGTCGGACTGGACATCCCGGCAACCTGAAGACTCAGTCTACCGGGCTGGAGGGCAATTGTTATGGACCAGAGAAAGGCCCACAGCAATATGAAGCCCAACCAACGTCAGCCCAGAGGTAAGTTCTATAAATAGGACTAAAGACCATAAGTATGACTGATCTCTCTAACCCTATTTGATTGAAGACACGACAGTGCACACACACACCCTTTCTGGCTAAAGCCATCATATAGTGTGTAGTGATTAGCTGTCCCCAAGATACCTAATTCATAGGTATCTAGAGATAAAGCTCTAGATCCAACATCAAAGACCCGACCTTCTGTCGGACATATCTGCTTCAGGCAGAACACCAACAATGTTAGCTTCTTCTCTGTTTTTTCTTTTTTAAGGGTAGTTTTGATATTTTTTAAAAAATAACTTTGTTAACTTTTGTTTTGGATGTAAAATTAAGTTTGAGGAATAAGTGATAAATAAACTTTAAGTAAGAGTATAAATGATTAAATTTTTTGAAAGAGGGTTAAGTGATTCTGAGGAAACTTACATGAGTTTTTTTTTTAAGTTTTCCCTAGAGTTTTCTCACACATATGAATGCATTATTTCACACAAATATAAATATGGGATTTACATTTCTTTTTTTTTTGGTAATCCTATGGGGTTTACATTTCTGCAATTGTTGTACGTGCAACAATCAAATACTTGTCATATATATACTTGAAAGCATTAAATGCGGGAAATCATAAGCATACAAAGGATGAAAGCATTAAATGTGGGGATATCATAACCATACACCTGTCGTTGCTGTATGTAAAGTGGCTGCAGAAATAATTTTACCTATATATATATAGGGTTTATATTTCTTCAGCTGTTGTACGTGCAACAATCAAATGCTTGTCATATACATACTTGAAAGTATTAAATGCGAGGAATCATAACCATGCAAAGGATGAAAGCATTAAATGTGAGCAATCATAACCATACACTTGTCGTTGTTGTACGTAAAGCGGCTGCAAAAATTATTTTACCTATAATTTTTGTATATATATATATATATATATATATATATATATAGCATAATTTTTGTTGTATAGTTTATAACTAAATTTTTTTATCTCTACCCAACACTATTATCACAAGTTGTAAAAAGTTTGTGTCCCTTAATCAGAGATCTCGAATTCGAGTCCTAAAAATGAAAAAAATAGTTTTCGAAGAGCTGCCCATGCTTAAGGTCCGACAATGCTTGAATCGGATTAGTCCGAAAGATGAACCGAATGAAGAGAATAAAAAAAAAAAAACCTTATCTCTATCTACAGAGAACTCTTAAATACTTAACATAGACTTGCATAATCAATTAGCAAATTAGTTAAATTATTATCGTTGCAGATTTGATTATAAATTAATATTATTTGTTGAAAAAGTATACTATATGATTATTATCCATAGAGGGTTTTTCGGCTTTAATTATCTCTTCACTTTATAAAATCAAGTTAGTATAGTCTATGATTATTTATTCGGCTGAAAAAGTAAAGAGAACTTGATTCATTTTCTATGAAGTGGACCCCAATCAAAGAAAATTAACTCAAAACAAAACGGCAACTAATATATCATAAAGTTGATTTCCCTAATTAATGGCCCAGATAAAGTCCATTATCGATTGATTTCTCTACCATGTGGTCCACTCAGCAGACCAGGTACCAACAACTTTATCATCCATTCAAAACCATCAGGGCCCACTTTCTCCCTACATCATTTCCAACCATTTCAGTCAATCACAGATTTCACCATCTATCATGATTTCACCACCTTCTACTATAATCACTGCATTACCACCATACATCCCCCCCTGTTTTTGTGGATTTTAGATAACCTCCCCCCTCCCCTCTCCTCTGATAACATGAGATAAGTGCAAATGTATTGCATCTTGCAACGAAGGATTCATCACTACCTAATCACTTAAAACACGAGGTCAGTGAAACAATATACAAATTATTCTTCGAACATAATTGATACCTACTACATAAAGTAATGATAGTTGTAATTTTAAAAACCAATACATGAGTAAAGTTTTATAAGAGCTTAATATAACATATATAATTTATTTGTTTTATAAGAGTTATGTTGTAGGAAAAGTGATTGTGTAATGTTATAGAGATTCGTTTTGCGTGTCATAATTTTCTTTTTTCTTTTTTCTTCAAAAAAATGTGAGTCCCACAAAATGTTGTGTTATAGGAAAGTTTGTTGTGTCATGTTAAATGACAAATGCAAACCCCATAATTTATATATACTATATGCATATTATATATTAGGAAATAGTATTTCCTAAAGAGAAGTTTGTTCTAGTTGTACCAATTTGATTACTCCTAGATGCAGCCAACTAAACACGGATCCTGCGCCCTTAAAATTCTTAACAAGTGTAATAACATCTGCCTCGATATTTTAAAATTAGATTGAACATGTTCAACTGTTTCGACCGTGAATGAGTCATGTTTTTTATCATATAAACTGATTCGAGTTGAATTAAACCATTAAAATAGCTAACTGTTCCAACTGAAAAATAACTTAAAACTTTTACCAATTTGATCTCTAACTTAATGTTAAAAACACGAATCAACTTATATTTAACATATACATGATGATGTCATGGGAGGAAGTGGAACAGTTCAGTTGAGTGAGCAAGTTAAAAGAGTGTACAAGTACGTGGGCAAATTCCTTATTTACCTAAGAAAGTGGCATGAAAATATCCGGCGGTTACAATGCAACATTATTACAGACATTAATTACTTGTTACCCCACAAAAACAAACAAGCATCCACACCCACCACCTTCCCAAAAACCACGACAAACGTTAAATTACTTATAAATCTGATACGACACCCACCACCACCTTTCTGAACAACCTTCCATAACCCGAACCACCACTTCACACACATAACAACTTGCAACTCACATTTCCAATGGCTGCAACCTTGGAGTGTTGGTCCAGCCGCGCCGGCGCCGGCACCGGCACCGACGAGGAGATGGTGGAACAGGTTCTCATGAGGACCAACCACAGATCGGAAGGTGCGGTCTCTTCCTCCACCAAAGACTCCTCCACCCTCGTCCACAAGAAGTTGCAGAAGCTGAGCCGCAACGTTTCTGAGGCTATAACCTCCTTCAAGAACTCCCTTAACCTCAATTTGAACCCGGATTCTCCTTCTTCTTCTTCTTCCAAGAACGATGGCTCTTCTCGGAAAGTTGCGTGGGGTAGTGTCGTTCGCAACCTCACCCTGCTCTACCCTGGAAGCCAGCTTCCTGAGAAGCTCATGTCCAATATTCGCAAGCATTATGATTCCTTGCCTCTCAGGTCGGAAATAGGAACGGGTCAAGTTTCAATCTTTTGAGACACACTATAATGATAAAAACCAATGCTTGATCTGAATTTGCACTGTTTGGTTGTGTTAAGTTCGCTTCCCTGATGGGTTTTGCTTACTTCAATGCTAGAGCCTCTCAAGTTCACTTCTTTAGCTTAACAACAAACATGGGTCATGGAATCATAGGGTTTTTTTTTTTTTTTTCCTTTTAATTTTTTCGCTATGTTTTTTGATTTATTTTATTTATTTTTTTCATTTATTTCACAGTTATGCACAAGCAGAATTTGATATGAAAGATGTGTTTCTCCACATCAAGTTGATGGAGCAAGCATCAGAAGGTGACCAATCTGCGATATTGATTCAAGAAGAGTGTGATGATGAAGTTCGGGGGTCTGTGTTGAAGCTCACGTTTGCTTGCAACTCTCCAATTTCATGGCCTGCAATGTCGGGTGCATTAGATAGTTCATCCATTTCCTGCAAGAAGATGCAGATCTTTGAGAAGAAAGGTTTTACACTGGGGGTTGTTCTTCTTGTTGTTCAGTCTGGCCATGATAAATTGGTCAGGACCCGGGTTGAAAATGCTTTGAAGTTTGCTATGAAGAAGCCCAAAACCAGTTCTGTGAAGCTTCCCTTTGGACTTTGTGGATGTCAGGAAGAGAATTCCAAGGGGAGAGAACTCGGGGAGATTGATGAAGACTTTGGTGATGCATACCATGGAAAGGAGTTCGAGAATTCGAGCCAAAAGATTCAGCTTCAGGTGCCCTTGCCTGCTTCATCTTTTATCGTATCAGTAGATGAATGGCAGACGATAAAGTCAGGAGGAGATGAGATTGAAAAATGGTTGTTGAACTCGGATAGTGTTGAGTTTACAGAACAGATTGGGCCCAATTCATATAAGGGGTTCTACATGGGAAAAAGGGTTGGAATTGAGAAGCTGAAAGGTTGTGACAAAGGAAATTCTTATGAATTTGAGCTCCACAAAAATCTGCTGGAACTGATGTCCTGTGGGCATAGAAACATTCAGCAATTCTGTGGTATTTGTGTGGATGATATTCATGGATTATGTGTAGTGACTAAGTTCATGGAAGGTGGGTCTGTTCATGATTTAATGTTGAAGAACAAGAAGATACAGACTAAGGATATTGTGAGAATCGCAGTTGATGTAGCTGAGGGGATCAAGTTTATGAATGACCATGGTGTTGCATACAGAGACCTCAATACGCAGAGGATTCTATTGGATAGGCATGGGAATGCTTGCTTGGGGGATATGGGTGTAGTCACTGCCTGCAAGAGTGTTGGAGAAGCAATAGAGTATGAAACTGATGGTTATAGGTGGCTAGCACCAGAGGTTTGCCCCTATTCATTCACACTCATTTCAAACAAAATAATTGTTGCAAATATGAAAAATCGTGTCTCACTAATATGTTCCACAGTCATACGTAGTTCTGCATTGCCTTTGCCATAGGTAGTTGGTTATCTTCTCCAGCGTTTTTCAAAAGAAAATAAAAATTGAAGAATATGCTCCCAAATTGGTATCTATCCCTTTTCAAAAATAGGTTCCCTCCTTCTGAATAGTTTGGCACCTCGACGCCTAATCTAAATCCTCATGGCTTTTAGGTAAGATATAATGGACGGGAATGTGTTTTAGGCTTTTAACCTGTTGCTCCAGTAAATCCTTTGACACGTAATGGTCTGCTTTCTAAACAGAGAGTGAGAAAATACTTATGCTCGTATCCTCATGGATTCGCTATATTCATCCTCGATCAAATAAAAAATTGTATATGCATCCTTTCTCACTGCTTTGGTTAGAAAATTATATGACTTTGGCACTGATTAAAAGCAATAACAAGATTATATCCAACATGGAGAAGAAAAAGATTTTCTGCTTGTGATGCTTATTTAGCCAACTTAGTTTACTTCTCCAGGAATTTTGGAACTTTATCAATTTACTATGTTATAGTGGTCTAACAACTAACAAAGATTCTTAAAACATTTCATTATATCCTGCTTTTGTTCAAGGAAGAATATGTTCTTAATGATGCTTGGTTAAGTTTTATGTCTGTACTCTGTAGATTGTCCTAGATAATGTTTCAGCAAGAGTAATGTCTAGGAGTAGGATTAAATTGTTATGTGAATTTTCTTCTGTGTCTATTCTGTTGCTCTGTTTGTCTTCATATACACTAGCTAGTTTAATGACAAATTCCAGTCTAAAGCGTTTTATCTCTTTATCTTTTTTGTCTGCTGTTGACGGGTTAGTACAACATGAAAATGACATACTAGATATTCAGCTGGAAAACAATTTAGAGTAACTTTTGTGAGTATTGTTGTCTCAAAGAATGTTGTTTAGATCCCTTGTGTGTGAAAGAATGCTGAACTAGCCTACATTTAAAGGAAACTTTATGTCACTTGTCCTGGCATCATTGTTTGAGCATGCCTAACGTGTCTTAATAATTGTGTTTTTGCTTTCACTTTATAGTGTATACCTTTATTTAAGCACTCGTGTATATTGTTAGAAAAATAAGTGTGCTTGTCTATTGCCAATTACACCAGAATTAATTTCGCACTGGAGCCCGCCTGTCCAAAGGCTTTAACATGATCTTTGTCCCAGCTGTATTGTAGTTATTTGTCCTATTGATAAAGCTACTCAAGAAGCCCTCACACCTCGTGTGCAGGCAAAAAAAAGAAAAGAATGCAAACTATCTAGTAAAACCATTCATTGTCGATAAACAAGTTGGTTTGCATGCTTTATTAGTAAGTCTCCCAAGAGAAGATCTTGTTACATATCACATACAAACACACCAATTCACGTGTGTGTAGGAAACAAAGTTTTATTTGTGTGCAATCCCAGTCCACTTTTACACTCAAATGGCTCCCACCAGAATTGATATGCACTAATTCATGTGCATATGATGTCTAACTAGACTCCTTTTTGGTGAAGCTTATTATGTTCTCTTTGAAGAATGAAAACTGGCGATAGCTTATATTGTAGATTTGAAATTTTGCAAGGATCTACCTCATAATCTTTTTTTCTTTTTTGTCTTGTAACATTCTAAAAGAAAAGGGAAAAAGCTTCAATGACAGTGATTTGTTATAACTTGAAAGTGAAATTTGATGTACCTCTGGTTAATAGGGTATGAATTTTATCACTTTTGTTTTTGGTGTGAGATAGCAGATAAATTTTTGGTTTTTTAGTACACATTTTTTACTCCATGACGTTAATTCCCTAGTCCCCATTCTGACTTGTTTCTCTCTTTTTGGGTTGAAAACAGATAATTGCAGGGGATCCAGAGAGTGTCACAGAGACATGGATGAGTAACGTTTATAGTTTTGGGATGGTAATTTGGGAGATGGTAACTGGTGAGGCAGCATATTCTACATTTTCACCTGTGCAGGCAGCAGTAGGCATTGCTGCTTGTGGCCTTAGACCTGAAATCCCCAAGGACTGCCATCAAACTCTAAAATATATTATGGCCAAGTGCTGGAATAACACTCCTTCTAAACGTCCTCAGCTATCTGAAATTTTAGCAATATTGATGCGACCAAACAACAACAATAGGTAAACTTCTATATAGGCCTTTGTGGAACCCAATCAGTTGAATCAAAATGATAACAAGTTCATGTATAAACATGAATCCCCATGCTTATATAGCAGCAATGAAGTTGTAAATTATCCACTATTCTTAATCTTGTACCATCTCTTCATGGCATCATCAAAAACCCATGTGGGGGGTGTTGCCTTCGTATAAATGTCTTTGTCAATTGTCATCATAATTTTACTATTTTCCCTTCTATGGTGCGGCCTCAATGATGGAAATAATACAATACGCTTCAAATTTATGAGTGGTAACCTAGGAGTAGGAGCATTATCTTGTGAAAACTAGGATAAGTTTGTGGTGAATAGAAAAACCAACAAGTGACACGTTTTAGGGGGGCATTTGTTGGTTATTGTTTTGTTTGTTTCGTGATGGCTATCCTAAGGAGATCAGAAAGGGGTCCCGTTTGATTTTGTGCTGCTTTAGTGGGGAAATAATCAACCTTTTCTGCTGTGAGGTGACGTATTCCCTGCCCGCACATTGCCTGTATATCGCATTATACCTATTGAGAAGTTGAAGAGGAAAATAGCAATGCTACATGAACCAGATTATTATTTTATGTGCATGAACCTGAAATTTTATGTACGGGACAAAGCATTATTTTAAAATATTTGTTTTTTATTGGTAAGTAGCTAGATCAATCTGCAGCCAGCCACACACACACACACATAAGTATTAGAATCAATTTACATTAAGTTAAAAATAATAAATTTCACTTTATTTTCGTATATCTAACTCTTATGATTTATTAGAAATTAATAATTAATTAATGAGTGTGATTTAATAAATCACAATTCACGGAAATCAACAATAATTAAGATATAATGTAAGACTTATTATTTTTACATAAGTTGATCGTGCCATGTCCCGCCTTATTTATATATATATATATATATATATATATATATATATATTAAATATACATAAGTGTAAATATAAATTAAAATTATTGTGCTTGTACAATTCTAGTTAAACATTATTAAAAAAAAACCCTTCTCACATAAGTAGTTAAGCAATCATTTAATTATCCATTTCTTAGATTTTCTTTTGAAAAACATTCTTTAAAAAAAAAAGATTGATTTTTCCATTCTAAGATATATGTGACAAAGTTTCATCATTGAGATACAACGGTGGTTTCTTCTATTAGTTAAATCAATTCTCATTGGAAATATCACTAATTCGCTTACCTCCGGAAAAATCACTATCAGAGCATGCATGTATTATGATAATGAGCTTGAGCTTCAATAAAGAAACTTGATAAAATTGAGTCAAATGAAGAAATTATCTTTATCAAACTAAGAAAAAATGAATATAAAGACAAATAATCAATATTCAGTCTACCAACAAAAAAGAAGAAGAAGCGATTATTCAAATCTAGAAGTTGTCCATATCGTTCATATTCGAAATGATGATAAATTATGCATATCACGAGATAATGAAACTTTGGTGGATGATGGATGCCAACTATCATTCCTCATAATTTGTAAAATTTGTTAGAACATTATAACTAATTTCACAGAAAACTGTAATATTAAAGAGTTAAAGTCCTGTATTTCATGGTTGACATCCACAAAGTGGAAGCGAAGTCAAAAGTTAGCATTGAAGAGCAAAAAATATCGTACCCGAATCCAATTATATGCTTTTACAAACAAGAAAATATAATAATAAAGTGCGTTAGGGCATCTAAAAAAGAGGGTAAAATTCGGATGAGAGAGGGTGCATGGTCCAAAGCTCCAAAGTGCCATGGATCTACATTGGTTTGGCCATTTGAGACTTTGAAAAAAGGAAGTCTCCACTGAAAGATTGTTAGCGATTGGCATGTTGTTTGTATTAGCATGTGATGAGGTGAAAAATTGAAAAGGAAAAAGAAAGAAAGAATTAGAAGAATAAATTCCATCATAAACAAAAGAAAGGTGATTCCTTCTTGTTCTTAACGATTGCAGGCTTGCAGCGGTTGTATTCTTGGATAATGTGCTTTTGAACTTGTATTGAGAAGGTTAACCTAACGATTGTCAATGGGATAAATGAATTTTTGTAAAAGTAGTCGTAGCAAGTGGGTTTAATTCTTTATAGTGCATTATATATTGTCATACATAATTTACATGAGGTTGAATGATTTATGGAATTTTTATTTTAAAAATAATGCTACATGACAGAAAAAATATGTGAAATAACAATTAAGTATGTGTATAGATTAGTTATAAAATATTATATTATAAATTAATTATGTATGTGATTTATTTTGAGAAGACTAGTTTATGTTTACATATGTCAATTTATAAAACAATTTCAATACCAAAACTCACGTTTGCTTTGTATGAGAAAAATAATATGGATTAAATTACTAAAACAAATACAATTATTTAAAACAAATAATAGATTAAAGGCAAAGTTATATTTATCTTTTAAAACTTTTGAAATCAATTATAGCACAATGCTGAAAACCCAGATTGTTAAGAAAGCTGTTTTAGTGAAAATAAAAATATAAAACTTTTATCGAAATTGGTTTCTTCTAAAAATGTAAATATATATGTTGAAATTACTGCTTGCTTGATAAATAAATTTTTTTTTAAATAACAAATATTTTATTTATTTATTTATTCATTTTTGAGAAAAGCTATTTTCAGGACACGGTGAGATGTCTAGAAATATGAATAGAATAAATTATTATAATTTGAGGACGTGAATTCTATGCAATTTAAAAGTTAAAGGAAAGTATTACAAAAAAACAAAAAAAAGTTAAAGGAAAGAAGAGAAGGACATAGTATGAGAAATAAAATGTATTATGAGTATTAAATTCGTACCATTCTTTTTTTCTCAGATATCTTACAGTTTTGTCAACTGAATTGTTTTTTCCGGAGACTAATTGTTATGTAGTGGAACCAGGACTAAATTTTTATGGATTTTTTTTATAATCTGGAGATATTCTCATTCATCCTCTTCCGGTAATCTTGTCTTCGAAGTATGACCCAGAAAGCTATCTCTTATTGGAACAACATGTGTATTGAGCTTCGTCACCGGAAAAAGGATAAGACTAATCCTCTATTTGAGAAGAGGGACACGTTCTCTGATCTTCAAAAAAAATTTCAAAAATTTGTTTGAGATAGGATTTGAATCTCTTAGCCAAACAAATCTTGAAAACTCAATTTGTTTAAAAATATAGTGATATGGACCAAAACTTTTACAAAGTATCGTAAGTGCAATCTCAGAGAAACGGAGAAAGGGGAAAATGTGTAGATTACAAAGGCTTTAAAATTCAGCAGAATAATAACTCATGAAAATATAAAATGGGAAAAACATTTCTCTGGCAATTTGAGATAAGTTTATCTTAGGTTACTCCAAAACTATGTTATTTTATTTATTTATTTTCTTATATTAATTGATTCACCTTTAAATGGTTATAATTCCCATTGTCTCTCTCTTCCTTTATAACAATTGATCCATTTTTGTATGGTTATGATTTAGTAATCAAAGATAAAATTATTTCAAGCAGTTTGAGAAATGATAAGCCCATATAAAATATAATATAAGTATGGGATATCAGTTGTCCCTCAATAATGAAATATAGGTAAAAAAAATATTTACTAATAATGAAAGAAGAAATGATGACCCAAAACCGTTAGCCAATTATAAAGAGTTCTCTCACCCATGGTGCGTGTACTGAGTTGTGTAAAGAAAAATGTAATCTCCTATAATGAATTTCCATGTGTTTTGGGTTATCAAGGGAATAGATTGGATATATTGAGATGTGAGAAGCGCCTAAAAACAGTAATGATAATGATTTGACATGGTTAAGGCATAATTCATGACAGCGAGGGAGTATTTGGTAGAAGATAATTTTTTTTTATTTGGGAATCTCGATTTTTTAGAATATGATGAAAATATTCAGTTTATGATAATATTCGAAAATTAAAAATTTAAAAAAAATTCAGTTTCGCGAAAATCCTGAAAAATATCTTTACCAAATGCCTCCTGAATATTATGGATCCAACTAATGGCCTTATATTAAAAAAGGTTCAATAACGGCAAACAATTAAGAAAGAAATATGAATAGAATTTTAGGAAGATATTGATATTATCATATCTTTAATAGATTAAGCATTGAGTCCCCAATTCAGAATTTTACTATCTAGATAAATTTTCTATAAATAGGAAGTTAAACCTATAAGTATATACTTTTGAACTTTCTTTTATCTATCAATGCAAACTTCCCACGTCTTAATTACATCGTTCTCCCATAGCACAATAGTTAATCTCTATAATATTTCTCTCATAGATATTTGAGAAAGGATATACAAATCCGATAATGACTCACCATTTATCATATTCAATATCTCAATATTCAAGATCTTAATGTTATGAATCAAAATTCCAACAACACAAGCTATTAAGATTGATACAGTGGTGAAGAATTTGAATAAATTGTACTAGATTGTATCTTCAGTTCTCACATGTATAAAAAAGAATCCTAAGGGCACCAATGTCATGATAAAAAGAATCACATTTATTGTAAAGAACTTTGGGATACATCACTCCAAAAGCTAGCACATTTATTGTAAAGAACTTTGGGATACATAACTCTTTTGGGCTTGAAGTGTGTATACTGCACGGACCCACTTTTTGGTTTATCTTTTTGTGCTTTTTATTTTAATTCCACTATAAAGTGGAGGCAGAAAAATCACTCAAGCTCTGATACCATATAAAGAACCTTGGGATACACCACCTAAGAGCTAGCTCAAAGGATGAGAGTGCTCAAGACTTTATAAACTCCACATTAATGACACATACAAACCAATGTGGGACTATATATCTCGCGCTGATAAGCAGCCCGACTTAGACGACGACTAATGCCTTCTCCCAACCTCAAAATGTTTTGAGGTTGAGCACAAGAAAAAGCAAAAAAGAAGCAACTCCTTGAGCGCTAGGAGAGGGACCGCCAGATTGAGGATGAGGAGCGGGGTCGTTTTTCAAGCACGAATAGAACGATAACATTTCTTCCCGGTAAAGTTTCATTCTATTTCAACTAGCAGCATGTTTGTTTTAATTTTTAAGTCGCCACAAATGATATTTTGCAATCCCAATCATATTTCTTGATCTTTTCCTCTCTTTTCCCCCTACGAACCAAACATGCTCATCTCCCTGATAGTGAAAAACGAGTTCATCTCCTACATTCTTGCCAGAATTTGAGGTCTCTTTGTCAGGTGTTTAGTAGTTCCATGGGAGTTACAAATAAACAGTGAATAACAAATTTTTTTTTATTTAAAAACTATTTTTGTTACTATTAACGTTTTAAAATTGAGATGATGTAAAAAAGAGAGAGTAAAAATAGCAGGAAAAATTAAGTGGTTTGCATCTATCATGTCACATGCTACAAAAAAGTTTCCTACACACACAATATCTTGTGGGGCTCGCATTTTTTGAAGCAAAAAAAAAAAACTAAAGCACACAAAACGAATCTCTATAACATTACACAATCACTTTTTTTACAATATAACTCTTATTAAACCCGAAAATTAATAGTTAAACTATAAAATACTTTCTATGCACGAGAAAACACACACCATTTTGGTCCAAAACGTCGATGCACTCGTTCCGTATGTAGCATTGATATCGATTCGGGACACGATACGATATGACACTCTGACACGTTAATTCTAAAAAATGTTAGATTCTGACACGTTTTGATATTGAATAATATTTTTAATTTATATTGCGTATATTATATTTAATATTCAATAATTTAACAAAAAAATAAAGCTAAACTTATAATTATAAATATTTATATTAAATTCAATAGAATAGTAATAGTAATCCAACGAATCTAATAGTTAAGACTAAAAATATAACGCAACGTAAGATAACCTTTAAACTTTTTTTTTTAAAATTTTACAATGTGTGTTAAAGTGTCAGAATATCGAGAAATATTAAACAAGACACGTCAAAATTATTTCTCGACACAACACGTCTTTTAAAGTACGGTGTTTCGTAGCTGGTTGGGCATTGGTTTGGTCTACACCGCTCACGATTTGATGATCACAGTAACAGGCCCACACCACACAGCACCTACTCTCTCTCTCTCTCTCTCACTGAAATGGTAGTGACTAGTGAGTGAGCGAAGGGAAAATCAAAATTCACCATTATCGCTCTCCAAAAACCCTAGGTAGACGCAAATCCATAAATGCCCCTCTCTCCTTCTCTCTCTTTCTCTTATATCAAATCCTCACTTACTCCTCACATTTCTAAACTGAACCAAAAAGAAAAACCAAATTCTCTCTCTCTCCGTTTCTCATCTTCCATCCAGATTCCATTCTTTCCTTCTCCCAAGTTCCAATCGGTACGTTCCCTATCTTCTACTCCACCTAATATCAAGATTCATACATCTTCCGCTGTTTTTTTCTTCGTTGTTCTGCACTCGAATCACGTGACAGTTAGGGTTTTGGATCATTTCTTACTTTATGTCTCGGGATCTTCTTCCCGATCATGGTTTTAACTTGTTTGCTGTTGTTTTTTTGTATTTGTTTGTTTGTTTTTTTGCGTTGATTCTCTCTATGGTGCGGTTTCGTTGCGTGTTCAGCAGCTTACTGCACTATATGCTTCCTAGAAAGAGAGCTAGCGAAGGAGGAGTGGTTGTAGAAGAAGAGACCGACACCACCACGAACAACAACAACAACAACAACGCAGGTGCTGCTGCGGCGCCGTTACACAAGAAGGCTCGGATCGGCTGCTTTGCTGCCTGCTCGCGTGCTGGTGCCGCCGAATCAACGGAGAACGACAGCGACCGGAGCTTCAGTAGCGGCAGCAACAACAACAACAACAGCGCCGGGAATTCGATCGGAGGAGCGTCGGTTATGGCTTTGGGCGATTCTAACCCGCCGGATATTGACGAGGATCTGCACAGCCGTCAGCTCGCTGTGTATGGCCGGGAGACCATGAGGAGGCTCTTTGCATCTAGCGTCCTCGTTTCAGGGATGCAGGGCCTTGGTGTCGAGATTGGTAATGGGTCTTCGAAAATCACTTTTAACTGCTTCCTTATAAGTTGATGTTTATTTCGTGACTACTGACTAGTAGATTAGATGTGGGGATGCCTCGTTTTCATTTGCTTTTCAACATGGTTTTTATCTGATGAACTAGGGTAGCGGTTAAATCTTCGGGGTTTATAGACACACTTAAATGCTAAGTTGACTAGGGTCTGGTGTTCTAGGACGTAATATAGTAGCAATGGTTTTCTCCCATCTTTTGTTGCCGTAGCTTCCATGTCTCTCTTATAATAAAAGAAAATCAATTAACTATGTTACTTGATGGGATTGGTATTAGTAGTTTTGGTTATTTGGTCCCCGGTGTCCTCTGTTTGCTGAAAAATGAAGTGAAGCAATGAGACTCACACTGTTGATAATCTTGTAATTTGTTGTCCAGTCTAATAAATGATTACTTGTTGCTCATTTTAAGTATTACAAGTTTTATATCATTAACTTCAAATAGGATATCAATTTGTTGTATGTATACCTATCAACTGATTTTAAGGAGTAATTTGTGCTGATGTATCTTTGGGCAACCTTGCCAAAGGTCCTCACTTATGCCCATTCAATTTAGATTGATTAATTAAGAGCGTTTCTAAATTCATAATGCACTTTGAACCATTCTATTTGTTTTGTGGCTTTATTTTTTAATGGTTCTGGGTTATAGATTCAAATAGTGCCAGCTCTGTAATACTTGATCTTGTTTTTTGTATCCTAATAAAGTTTACTACGTGCAGCAAAGAATCTCATTCTGGCTGGTGTCAAATCTGTAACCTTGCATGATGAAGGGACTGTGGAGTTATGGGATTTGTCCAGCAATTTTGTGTTTTCAGAGAATGACCTTGGTAAGAACAGGGCGGTGGCTTCTGTTAGTAAGTTGCAGGAACTCAACAATGCAGTGCTTGTAATAAGCTTGACAACTAAGCTGACAAAAGAACAACTTTCTAATTTCCAGGTTGCTTTCTACTCCTTTATATTTTTTGAACTTCATATTCTGTTAAATGCATTTCTATGTAATCTGCTATATATCAAGTAACTACATCTGTATGTTGGCTTGTTTTGATGTCTGTGGAACTGTGGGAGAGGATTTTCCTTGTGCATGTGTTGATAGTGAGAGGATAATTTGTAATCTTGTGTAGTTATTTGCATTTCAATTTCATTTGTTTGAAACATTACTTGTGTTACAGTTTTGTATGGGTACGCATTAACTACTAAACTTGGTGATTAATAATTAATAATGAGTGAATGATAAAAAAATGAAAGATTATGGGGGAAATTACCGTAAATGCAGAGTCAATGGTTACATGTCTCACGTACTATATATTGCTACCATATATTTAGTTGGCTTTACATTTGCCCGTGTTATTTACTGTTGTCTTTGTTGTACTTCTAACTTTAATGAAGTGGTTGTCTATTTACTTCTGTTGTTCCTGAAATTGGGTTAGAGTAGTGGAGAGATTGCTGACTGCCTCCTTCAGCGAGCTGATGTCAGTTGACATTTGATCAGCAAAATCAAGACACCAAGCCTCCGTATGCTATGACTCAAAATCAAGCCTCACAACAGAACGCAACAGACATCCTAAACAAACCACAACTCAAAACCATCACAAATTTCTCCACTTCCACAAGCAGAAAATCCAATCCCATTTCATCCCCAGAGCACTATCAGTCTTAAATCCTACCACCTGTGAAACGCTAAACTCCAGCCCATAGCATAACTCTGTCGCTCCACCGCATCTTACCGCCTCAGACCACCATCAATCTTGCCCTGACCACCATGCGCCACCCCCATCCACCCCCATCACTTGAGCTGTAGCTTCCACCGAATCCCGGTGTCAAACCTCTTTTCCTCACCCAATCCTAGTGTTAAAACTGAATTACCGCGCCTTGAGGTTTCTCCTGCTTCCCCTGCAGTTGTTAGGAATGAAAGCATGGGGAAGAGTGAGACAGATCAAGAAGAAAATCTCCATCCAATCCTAGTCTCAATATTTGCTGTGTGCTGACAATGCTATTTGGTTTGTCTATAGCTATGAAATCCAAAGGAACCCCTACTCCCTTGATGACAATACTGGCTTTGTTGCTAGTGGATGAAGTGTCAGAAGTTTGGGGCTTCGGACAGTCGACAGGTTGGGGATTTAGGGTTTGAAATTTGAAGAGAATGGGGTTTGGGGCTGCTATTGTGAATTTGTAATTTATAATTCTGTCCTGTGAAGTGAAGGATGAAGGTTTTTTAGTCTATTTTAAATTTAATGCATTAATGACTAAAAAGTTAACTTCTATATGTAGATGTATATATACTACAGGTGATTTTGTAATTTCACTTGTACATGAATCCTGCAGGGCAGGGAGTGTGATCCCCATTTCTGTCTCCGAATCTACTTTGGGGCAATTTTCTCCATGTAGAAAAATTCTAGAACACAGCCCCAAATGGAGTATTCTGTGTGGAGATCCCTAAATTTGGGTAGAAGTTGTCATCCCTAAGTATAGCTGCAAACTGGGTCGCATATAATATTGGCTATTGTTCTTAAGTCAATATTTTTTTTTGCTAACAATGTGCAGTGAGACACCTTTTCTAGTAAATTTTAAAGTTGATGGAAAGGTTTTTTTTTTATTTTTTTGCATGTAATTCTTAATGCTTATGTGGTTGTTGTGATGGTACATGTTCCGTGTTATGAGTATTGGCAATAATGTGTTAGGAGACAACTACTTGCATCCATTACCATATTATTAGCTCTACTGTTTATCGCCAAAATTAAATCTGATGTTCTTTGTATTGTTTAATATTATTGGTAAAAATGTAAAATAAATTAACATTATTCTGTTGTAGTAAGATTTGTCCTTTTTGTGAATTGTAATGCTGAAGTGATATAACACTCAGATTGTGAATGTTTGATGGTTAATGGTGTAATTTAAAGATAACTTTGCTATCTGCAACCATGAATCCATTTGTATCTGACTTATTTGGATAAATTTACATTTGTTTATTTTACTATTTTTTAGGCTGTTGTTTTCACTGATATCAGTCTAGAGAAAGCCATCGAGTTCAATGATTACTGCCACAGTCATCAGCCTTCTATTGCCTTTATCAAAACTGAAGTTAGAGGCCTTTTTGGTTCTGTGTTTTGTGATTTTGGGCCTGAGTTCACTGTTTTTGATGTTGATGGAGAGGAACCCCATACTGGTATAATTGCATCCATCAGCAATGACAACCCTGCTCTAGTATCCTGTGTTGATGATGAGAGGCTTGAGTTTCAGGATGGAGATCTGGTTGTATTCTCTGAAGTTCATGGTATGAAAGAGTTGAATGATGGAAAGCCAAGAAAGATTAAAAACGCTAGAGCATATTCATTTACTCTCGAAGAAGACACCACAAATTATGGTATTTATGAAAAAGGTGGTATTGTCACACAGGTCAAACAACCAAAGGTTTTGAACTTTAAACCACTCAAGGAAGCACTCAGTGATCCGGGTGACTTTCTTCTGAGTGATTTTTCTAAATTTGATCGCCCACCTCTCCTTCATTTAGCATTCCAGGCTTTGGATAAGTTCATTTCTGAGATAGGTCGCTTCCCTGTTGCTGGTTCTGAGGTTGACGCACAGAAACTTATATCTATTGCCAGTGATATTAATGGAAACTTAGGTGATGGACAGTTGGAAGATGTGAATCCAAAACTTTTACGACAATTTGCCTTCGGTGCTAGGGCAGTATTGAACCCTATGGCTGCCATGTTTGGTGGAGTTGTGGGACAAGAGGTTGTCAAGGCGTGCTCAGGGAAATTTCATCCACTTTTTCAGGTAACTAATATTTCTTCTTCTTAATCATTATATCCTCTGTTATTTTGTGTGTTGCAAATGAAGTTAGCCCATATGAAAGTCTTTTCCATAATATTGTTCTCCAGTTAGTTAGCCAATTGTTTTTGTGTGTTCAATTTGCTGCTTTCAGCTGGATATTTTATTACTCTGCACGTTCTATAGTTTTCTGTAAAAATAACTATGAATGAATATTTATGATTTAAACAAAGCAACCTATGTATGATCTTGAATCTTTAAAAAAGAAGATTCTTTCCCATCAGTTGAGCATTGTACTTGTTGAACTTGATTCTTATAAATGAAATTTACTTGACTATGACTTGACAGCTTGGATTTTTTAAATCTTTGTGATTATCCTAGAATGAGTATTGCATTGTACCTTTTCTCTCTCTGCACAATCCTCTAACACTGTCTGAAAGTAATCCTTACCTTGAGGCAATACCATCGGTGTGCAAGCTCTGATAAAGTTTGTGCTTTAGTATACACATATCTGCATACATACCAAGATTTGACCAAATGGATGTGCATAGACGTTGGTTGGTTTAAATCCTTGATATTCTAACATTATCTTGAGAGGGTGATGTGATATCATGGCTAACAGTCCCAAGATGTATTGACATTATTACGTTTTGTTTAGTTCCTAAAAAATAATAGGAGTGTCTATTGGTAAATATATGTTATTCATGTTTCATTTTTTTCATTCTCACTTTAATGAGCATTTTATTTTATTTTTGAGGTTATAATACTTTTACTTGTTGCCCTGATTGATTTTTGTGGTTTTAACTTCTATTCCTTCTCTGCAGTTTTTCTACTTCGACTCTGTGGAGTCACTTCCTACAGAACCACTGGATCCTAATGATTTGAAGCCAATAAATAGTCGTTATGATGCACAAATTTCAGTTTTTGGACTAAAGTTACAGAAGAAATTGGAGGATGCTAAAGTGTTTGTTGTTGGATCTGGTGCATTGGGATGTGAATTTTTAAAAAATCTTGCCCTAATGGGAGTTTCTTGTGGAAGTCAGGGGAAACTGACAATTACTGATGACGATGTCATTGAGAAGAGTAACCTAAGCAGGCAGTTCCTCTTCCGTGACTGGAATATTGGCCAGGCTAAGTCTACAGTCGCTGCTTCAGCTGCTTCATCTATAAATCCTCATCTCAATATTGAAGCTTTGCAAAATCGTGTTGGCCCTGACACGGAAAATGTGTTTCATGATACCTTCTGGGAAAACTTGAGTGTTGTGATTAATGCACTGGACAATGTGAATGCGAGACTGTATGTTGATCAGAGGTGCTTGTATTTCCAGAAGCCACTTCTTGAATCTGGAACACTTGGAGCCAAATGCAATACCCAGATGGTCATTCCCCACCTAACAGAAAACTATGGTGCATCAAGAGATCCACCCGAGAAACAGGCACCAATGTGTACTGTACACTCATTTCCACACAACATTGACCATTGCTTGACATGGGCTCGATCAGAGTTTGAGGGTTTGCTTGAGAAGACTCCAGCTGAAGTAAATTCATATTTGTCCAATCCAAGTGAATATTCTACTGCAATGAGGAATGCTGGTGATGCTCAAGCAAGGGATAACTTGGAGCGTGTTCTTGAGTGCTTGGATAAAGAGAAGTGTGAGACTTTTGAAGATTGCATTACTTGGGCTAGGCTAAAGTATGTTTAATTGATAATACATGCTTATGTTCTCTTATAGGAATGTTGTGGGAGCATACTAATTTTTTTGTGTCCTACATTGAAACATGATTTTTTATTCACAGGTTTGAAGATTATTTTGCTGACCGAGTGAAGCAGTTAGCTTATACTTTTCCTGAAGATGCTGCAACTAGTACTGGAGCTCCTTTCTGGTCTGCACCAAAACGATTCCCTCGTCCACTGCAGTTCTCATCCTCTGATCTTGGTCATCTCCAATTTGTGATGGCAGCTTCTATACTAAGAGCAGAAACATTTGGTATCCCAATCCCTGACTGGGTCAAGAACCCTAAGAAGTTGGCTGAAGCTGTTGATAGAGTGATAGTACCCGACTTTCAGCCCAAGAAAGATGCAAAAATAGTGACTGATGAGAAGGCCACCAGTCTCGCAACTGCTTCCATAGATGATGCAGCTGTTATTAATGATCTAATCATCAGGTTAGAGAGGTGCCGGACAAAGCTGCCGCCAGGGTTCAGGATGAAGCCTGTTCAGTTTGAGAAGGTCTATTTTTCTCTCGTTGAGTTTTTCTTCTGACTGAAATTTTACCATGATGCTCGATAATGCCTTTTCTGTCTTAATTGAATTTGGTAGTTACAATTGGGGATTTTGTATTGGTGGTGGGGTTGAGTAATGAACTTTTCCACCTGCATTTTATTTTTTCTAAATAATATTGATCAACTAAGTTAGAAATTGCCTTTCTGCTGTAAAACTGCAGGATGATGATACAAACTACCATATGGACGTGATAGCTGGGCTTGCCAACATGAGGGCACGAAATTACAGCATTCCTGAAGTTGACAAGCTCAAGGCGAAGTTTATTGCTGGACGGATCATTCCAGCAATTGCAACCTCAACTGCTATGGCCACTGGGCTTGTCTGCCTGGAGCTGTTCAAAGTTTTGGACGGAGGGCACAAAGTTGAGGACTACAGAAACACATTTGCCAACTTAGCACTGCCTCTCTTTTCCATGGCTGAGCCAGTTCCACCAAAGATCATCAAGCATCAAGATATGAGTTGGACAGTTTGGGACAGATGGATTCTAAGAGACAATCCTACACTCAGGGAACTTCTTGAGTGGCTGAAGGCAAAAGGCTTGAATGCTTATAGTATTTCATGTGGAAGTTGTCTGCTCTATAATAGCATGTTCCCTAGGCACAAAGAGCGAATGGACAAAAAAATGGCGGATTTGGCAAGGGAAGTGGCCAAGGTGGACATCCCTCCGTACCGTCGTCACTTGGACGTTGTTGTGGCCTGTGAGGATGATGAGGATAATGATATTGACATCCCTCAAATATCCATTTATTTCCGTTAGGCTGTTTTCATCATATCAGGTGTGTCTGAAGTAGTTTAGAATGACAGAATGTTTGACTTTACTGTTCCATATTCATAATGGGTACACACAAGGTAACACCTCTGACCATATCACCGATTTACAACTGAATTGAATAGAAACTTTCGTTCCTTGTATGTTATATCATTTGCTTTTTTTTTTTTTTAACCCTTCCCTTCTTTCTTGGGATGGTAAATTGATGGAATGTCTTATCTTCTGCATCTCTTCCCTATTTGTTATATTTCTCGGCTACCGCAGCACCGCTTCATGGTAGGAAGCGAGTTTTATTATTCTGCCCTTGGCATGTAGTTGTTTTGTACAATTATTTTTAGGGTTCGACATGACAAGAGTTTTTTTATCTGCGCACACATATCAAGTGAGAGTCCACACTTTAAAAAAAAAAAAAAAAAAAAAAAAGTCAGGATCCGGAGTTGGTTCTTGGTAAAAAAAGTCAGGATATGAAATCGGATCTTGTAAGTGTTATTTCTATGGGAGTGGATCTTCTCATATGAAAAAGTAGTCATGTGATTATGTTATTTGATCACAATTATTCATTGATGATGAGATAAGAGAGAGAAAAGTGTATAATTTTTAAATATGTGGTTGTGATCAAATGATACGACCACATGATCATTTTTTTACATGATAGAATCTACTCCCTATTTCTATATCATGACAAACTGATTTCTCGTTTTTATAAAAAAAAATCATTTATGTTTGGTGGAGTAATTTTTTATTTTTTGTATAGTGAAGTGAGCAAAAAGAAAACAAGTGGGGCAGAGTTAACGAGGGCTTTTGCAATTGACGGTCAGTTTTGAGTTTGATTTCGGGTGATAGTGAAATTTGCTTAACGAGTTTTATCACTGCATCATAATTAAATTTAATCCTTTAATTTCGTGTTTAATTCAATGGGATTTGTGAGATTCCCTATAAAATATCTCAAATTATATTCAGTATTTTATTAGTATAATTTAGAATATCTTAAAAAATGTTTAGAATATAGTTTAGAATCAGTTAGTGATCTAATTGAGGAAGAAGGTTCAGGAATTATTTTCTATTTCGTTATGTATCTTAATTTACTTATTTAATTGGGGTTAGAAGTCTTATTTTAATATTGGTGGGCTGTAGGCTTACGCTACTACTTGATTAAATTTTAGTATAAATAGGACAGTTATGAGTTTATGATAGTATTTTGTAATATGCGATTACACATCATATAAGTATAATATTTTATTATTTATAGTCTTTATATATATATTTCTTTTTCTATTTTATACCCAAATTTTATAATTTCAACATAATTACAAAATATTAATATATATTATTATCAATTATAATTTTTTACTAAAAAAATTACTATTCACTTTGTAATATACGATTATACATCATATAAATATAATATTTTATTAATGGAAAAAATTATATGTTATTTTAAAAGACATAAATTTGTATTGTTTTTAAGTGAAACAATCATATTTTGATAGATGTTTGGTGAGGTCGATATTTGGTGATTTTTACATTCTCTTTCTTGAGGTGAGAAAACGAGAGTATTTTGGAGAGAGAAAAAAGCATAAAAAATCACTAAATATTCATTTTACTTAAAATGATATCAAGTTGTATTATTTAAACTGATAAATATTTTTCTCTTTTAATGTATTATTATTTACTAATTTAAGTTTAACATTTTATAAACTCTGGATATATTATTCAAAGAGTTTTAATTCAGATTAGAACTATAATTTTGTCTTATTTATTTGTTTCAAATGTAAAAATCAAGATTTTGAATTCATTTAAATTGTAAATTTCAATTCTTGTAAAATTAGAATTGAAATATATCACTAAATTACTTTGTTTTGTATGACCTTTTATTGAAAACTTAATTTGATGATGTGAAATTATTTTGTAAGTGGAATAATAACCCGACCTCACTTTAATAAGCCTTTTTTTTTTACTGCAAATGTAGGCATCCAAACATTCTTTTGGTAAGACCAGTAATAAATTGAATTAAATTAAGTTAAATTTAATACAAATCTGATTCCCCTTAAAACTCATGACTTCTTATTTGAACTCATATGTCAATATCCAGCATTATATACTAATAAAACTTTTAATATTTGATGAATTAGACTCAAATTTATAATCAGATCAAAAATAAAATAAAATGTTAATTTATGTTAAATTAAAATATTAGTATTACTATTATTATTATAAAATAAATATACATGTATTAAGTTTAGCCGTTCATATAAAAATTTAAGCTCACCAACTGTCTTAAACAAGTCGAAATTTGTACGCCATTAAAAGGCACCAAGTATCACATGGAACATATACAAACGCAAAACTGTTTTTGTCTTCCAAAAAAGTGTAAAAATATTAGTGTGTAAACAGAGATTACTAGCCTAAAGGCCCTAAACATAGCTTTATTATTAAATTTTACAAGGGTGACAACAAACACATCAATTAATTTCTCTGAGCAAAAAAGTTATTCGAGTTGTTAGCCTATTTGAAAGAGATGCTAGAAACCGACATGAAAAATGTCTAAATCATTCCTGTTGTATGATCTCATTCGCAACAATTTCAAAAAAGGTTGGCCCCCTTTTATCTAGCATATATGAGGAATGTGTATATCATTTTCATGTTTTATTGACGTTCGTATTTAATTAGTTTTTATAATTTTTTAAAACTGTTAATAAAGAAAAAATATTTAAAATAAAATAATTCAATAAGACTAATAATAAAAGCATCAAAGTAATGGTAGAGATCAACTTACATGTTTGATGTGTTTTTCTGCGCAAGCTGCTGGCTTTTTGCCAGCACTGGCCTCGTTTTTCTCGTTCTCCAATAATATTGTGGGGTTATTTGACAATTCAGGAGTACCTGAAATATTATTTTTACCCATTTGATATAATTCAAAAGTTATTTTTTAATAGGGGTATTTAGTTATACGGATTAGTCCCGCAGAATTGTTTTTATATTTTATTTTTATTTTTGTAAAGAGTTTTGCAAACTCTCGTAGGGAACTTATTATTATTTTATTTCTGTTCGGTTCTGAAAAGATCGTATTGCTATATCGTATAGTATGCGCTCAGAGATATTGTATAATAAGATGTATACTTGGCTTATAGCCGATGTCCTGATCACTGCGCACAAGCAATAGGCTTATAGCCAAGACGTGGATGTGTGCACAGTGTTGGCAGTAACAGTAAAATGAGTTCAAGCTGTATACCTGGGGTCTTTAACCTCTTATTTTTAAGGGTTACCTCTTGGACTTGTGTAGATCTCCCAGTTGTAGTAGGATTCAACTTTCTTTCTGTTGGACTCTATCCTTAGCAGCTTTACTGTTTCATATTGTTAGAATAATTGAGTAATTATCTTTTAAGGGATTCTTGAGTAGGTGGTTAGGATATGGAAATATTCCATAACAATTTCTACTTCAAGCTTCGTTGGAAAATTTACCGATCATGTCACATGGTGCGATCTTAGCAATCTAAATTTTTTGCCATTTTTATAATTTTCATCTCCGATGGATCTATAAATCGAATTGTCAAAACCTACATCCGATAATGACATAAGAGCATCGATAGTGGATGGAAACATTTAGGTTTGCCTATATCGACTAAAACAATATGATCACATGTTTGTATCAAATAATTGAAAGCCTCTCCAAACTTAAGTGAATGATGATCATAATTACGAACGACATGGATAGATGTAGCCTCTTGATTATTTTGCATTGCATCAAGCAATACATTACAGTAATGATTGCTTATAGTTACTCCTTGCCGAGTGTTGTTTCCTCTAGTAACAAATTACTTATTTGAATTGAAAAAAAAAAAAGAGCATTAAGGGCTTTGAATGACAAAAAAAAAAATTGAGTTTCCCAAGCGTTGAAGAACTCATTAAAAAAATTAAAAAAATATAAAAGCAATTCCACGAGAATTAATTCGCAGGACTAAACTTATTAAATAGGTAAAATAAACATGGTAACACCCTAAAATAGTAAAATAGAGATGGTAACACTCTCAAATGTCCAAATAGCCAATACTGTGGTTATGTAATACAAATTTCTTTTACACTCCCCAATGTTTTCTTAAATCTTTTGAACGCAGGACTAGTATTACAATGACTCTAACTATAAGGTGTTATTAGTAAAATATGAACTATGAAATTAAGGTTATCAACTATCACATTTCATGATTTAATTAATATTTTGCTATTAATAAGTTTATAAATAAATACTTTAAACTACTACAAAAAAAATACTTTAAACTATTAATAGATAAAATAAATATGCTATACGTATCACTCCTCATATGTATACACATATTTCATAATAATATTTTGTATTTTGTTATAAAATAAAGGAAGAGAGACATGGAGACAAAGAGTAGGGTAGATTTTCACCAAAAAAAAAGGAGTAGGGTAGATAAATAGGGTATAATTCCGATTCTCATTCAGCTCACCTATCCAATACGAGCAATGTCTATATATAAGATGAGGAAGGATCCGTTTACAAACTTACAAATTACACTATGTCTGATCGGTAATACTATATTGTATTACCGGTCAGACATAGCGTAGTTTGTAAACAAAAAATTTGTAAATATAACATTTCTCATATAAGATTACAACATTTAATGATGGAGTAATGCTCTTTTAGTGTGGTGGTTACGAAATCATGAATGAGAGATAATTGTACTGTTAATGCCAACGCTAACGCCATCCATAATTGCATCATTAATGCCAGCGATAACATGTATCATTAGTGCCAACGGTAACATGATTTAGGTCATCTATAATTTTTTTTTTGGAGACTGATCCTAATTATCTCTTTGAGGCGAATCAGAACCCCGGTATCCCCACGGGTTCGACTCTTTGAGCCGCCTATAGGACTAATCCAGAGTTCGGGTGCGAGTCCAAGGATTACGATACTTATGCCCCTCCCCAGATGGTGTTGGTGGAATTCGAACCGAGATCCTCTCCCACCACTCAGTCCCCATGCTACCAACTGAGCCACCACACTTGTAAATCATCCATATTTTACAACACTCCTCGATGACTACACATGTATGTCTCATTTAAACCTGGATGACTACACACTTATGGATATGTCTCATTAAAACCTTGCTAAGAAAAATTCAGTGGAATAAAACTTAGCGAAGGAAAAAGAGTACAATATACAATCTATTGTTATATGTT